CGGGCGGCCATCAAAATGTCAAGTGGGGGAAATGAAGTTAGGTAGGTAGTCACACCGTGGTGTAAGAAATTGGGCCAAGTTTTCTCAAATAGTGTACGAACAGACGCACTGAAAGATGTGCTGTTAATCAGCAAGTAGCTCCTCTGATAGGTGGCGATCAGTGCCCTGTTTAGTACCCAAACACTGTAACAAGCTCCTAAATCGCATGTTGGGCTTGTTGCTAAAAAGTTGGCCCAATTTCTTACACCGCGTGCCTGCCTACCTGGGAGCGTCAAATTGAAACCAACGGGTCTCTTGAGTCTTGATTGGCTCCAGAAGCCTCAGGCACCTGGTTGGGTAGCAATGCTACAGTGCAACGCCCAATTCCCGGCGAAGCAAGCAAACTCGAAGCAACCGAGCACATCAACACCGTAGCCGTCGTTCACACCCACCAAATGCACTAAAGTAATTCTACTTGCAGCACCAAGGTAACATTACTGCAGCTCACGTCTCTCACACCTCTACCGCTCGCAATGGATCCTGTTTCCATCATAGGCCTGACTTCTAGTATTATCACATTCATCGATGCCGGAAGCAAGTTCATCACGCTTGCCAAAGGCATCTATAACTCGCCGACAGGACAGGTGGAGGAGCTTGACAGGATTGAACAGTTCTCCGTGGAACTCGAGGACATCTCTAATCATCTGGCAAGCTCCTGCCCTTCCACCCCCCAAACAAGCGCCCAAAGGAGTCTGGTTGCCGCTTCGAAGGATTGCGCCGGAACGTGTCGCGAAATGCTGGAGTTGATCGATCAGTGCACGGCCTGGAGGAACGCCAAAACGCTGGCAGAGGACGCATGCGACGCATGCAACGGCAAAGAGAAAGCACTGAGAGATGACGATACTCTCATTGTTGCAAAGAAACAAGCGAACGTGAACAAGCTAAGAAAAGCTGGACCGCGCCAAGAATGCCAATGCCAGCCCGCGAGGCCTCACCAGAAGCGGTCGGCGTTGGGAAGCATTGCTCTCGCCGCTAAGTTTACTTTCAAGAAGAGCGAGATCGACGGACTTCAGAAGCGCCTTGACAGCGCGAGGCGTCTTCTCGAGCTGGCATCTCTTTCCGCTATGAGGTCAGCGAGAACTTTCCTTAAACGTAGACCCTTGAGAATCCGTATTTCCGCTCACACGATGTTTCCCGGCAAAAGGGAGGAGACGCAGCGGAGCCTTGTCCTGCTTCAAGGCATTGGATTCAGGCAATTATCTGAGCTGAAGGCTATCCAGGCCTGGGTCTCCCGCCTTGAGACGTACAACTCTGATAAAAACGAAGCCAATGCTTCAAAGAATCTTGAGACAGCTCTGAGGGCCTGTATCGGCGCTGGGAGTGCTGCCCAGCTATTCCAGGCCTACTTGAAGGAACTGGAATTCCCCGTCCGGACAGTGCGATTCTCAAGCGTCCTCGATGCCCACCCTTCCACCTTTGAGTACATGTTTGAGAAAGACTCAAAGCTATTCGAGTCTCATCCGGCCCTGAAACTCTCGTTCAGAGACTGGCTGTCGAACGGGGAAGGCGTATTCCATATCGCTGGGAAACCAGGCTCTGGGAAGTCAACCTTGATGAAATATCTCGTCCAGGATGCACGAACAAGATCTTTCCTCCAGGAGTGGTCCGGGAAAACCAATCAACTAGTCCTCGCGAGCTTCTTCTTTTGGAAGCCCGGCCACCCGCTTCAGAAATCAACCAGAGGCTTGGTTCGCTCGCTGCTTCATACAGTCTTGTCTAAATGTCCGGACCTTTTCGAGCAGCTGCTTGGAAGCCTGGATCGCGATCAAAGAGAACTCCAGTTCGGATCTGCTTCATATACGGGCTCGGTAACCCTATCGGAACGAGACATCCAAGGGGCTTTTAACTGTCTCGTCTCAAACAAGGCCCAGAGCAACAGGCATGGTCCTCGTTTCTGCTTCTTCATTGATGGCCTTGATGAGTTTGAAGACCCCCAAGAAGACTATTCCGATCTGGTCGTGCGCCTCAAAGATTGGAGCAACGCGATGCCCGGCAGGGTGAAGCTCTGTGTCTCGAGCCGGGAGCTGCCCATTTTCCACGACATTGAGCCTGGGCAACGCGTCCACCTCCACCTACTCACGCAGGGGGACATTCGGAAGTTCGTCATGGATAGACTCACGGGCCTACCTGGGTCGAAAAAGAGCAAGTGTGGCAGAACTCTGGCTGCTACGGAATACGACGCCCTGGTTCAAGAAATTGTCACCAAAGCCGAGGGTGTCTTTCTTTGGGTTTACCTGGTGACAAGGACCTTACGGAAAGGACTACTGGAGAACGGTGACTCCATCAACATGCTTCGGAAAAAGCTGGAGCACTTGCCCTCGGAGCTCGATGACTTCTTCCGTCACATGCTGGATTCCATAGAACTGATTTATCGACATGAGGCATACAGCACTTTGGCTGTGGCCCTGCGCATGGCCGACTCGGAAAGCGGCGGCTGGCCTCTGTTTCGCTATGGCTTGCTGTTCCTCTTTTTTGAGAACCCAGATTTTGCGACCTATCTCCCAGACAATATACCGCGGCCATCGGAACTCGACGCACAGCTGGAAGCTGCCAGGAGAAAGCTGAACGCCCGCTGTAACTGCCTTCTTGAGATTCGACCAAACAGCGACCCCGCCCTTCACGAACTGCCAATGTATCAAGATTCGGTCAACTTCATCCACCGATCGGTACCCGAATGGCTGGAAAGATGTCTTCCTGAACGGGCCGGGTTGAACGCCTTCGACCTAAATCGTGCCGTTTGCCGTGTGCTTCTCGCACAGATCAAATGTTCTGGATTCGACAACGTAGTAGAAATACACAAATTGACGGACGACATTGCCGAAGCTTTCGGACAGTTGCATTCCCAATGCATTGAGCAAAAGGGGGAGGCCCGTGCTCTCCAGGAAATGCTTGCTTTGGACGAATGCCTAGTTATGAAGCAGGGCCTTCACCAGATATCTGCACATCGCTGGGGCACAGAGTGTATCCCAACTCTTTCGTCGGTTGCATTTGGCCGGAATTCGCGCCCATACCCCGAAACAGGCAATATTCGCAAGGCAAAAATCTCCGGCATTCACCTTGCTGTACAGCTCGGGATGCATCACTACGTCTCACACAGGCTCCGGAATGATCCAAGCATCAACACCGGAGAATGCGGTGCATCATTGCTCCAATGTCTCGTGGAATCATTCATTGATCTCGGTTCATCCCCGTCCGTGGATGACTCGGGGCCACTGTTGAAACCAAGCCAGGCTCTTCTTTCAACTCTCTATGCCCTACTTGAGAACGGCGTATCGGTCAACGCAGTGGCTCCGATGCGATCAATGTATCTCGCCCATTCTCCGGTCAGCATTTGGCACGCGTTTCTTGGTTTCGCTTTCTCTGTCAATCCGGAGTCTGACCTGCCGCGTCTTGCGCGTGACAGAGCATTTTGGGGGGGCGTTGAGATATTTCTCCGATTTGGGGCAAGTGGCCAATTTAATCTGTTGACTGATTTCAAGAGAAGTTTCGAGAGTACTGGTGTTGACGCTCGAGCTGTTTGTCATGGGGTCAATAACGAATCAATCGTCATATGGGAGCATCGCGACGCGGTGGACCTGGAGCCCCTATTCTGCAGAAAAGGCCGAACTGTTTCTCTCCAAGACCTTGCAGAGTACTACCGGGCACACAATTACGCCACGATAAAGAGCTGGTTGGAGGAAGGAGATGCTGGTGAAAGCAAAATGCTCACGTCTTTGCAGCAGCGAATTTCGGAAACGGCTGGTGATGTTGCTGACCCTGGTAAACCGGGGTTATCAGGCGTCGGAACAATGGAGGGCAGGGCTGCCACCAATCAGCATCATAAAATAGAGCTGAGCCGTGCGGGAGTGAATAACAGCGTAGGGGCTCTTACCTCAGGTCAGGCGTGGATCGGCATCGGCAGCGGCGGCGGAGATCGTTTAGGGGCGACGAACATATTGAAGTTGCCCGTCCCACAGCTCTGCGTCAATTCAACAAGATTGACCACCGCCGGCACAGTAAGCTAGCCCAATCATCCATGTCGAAACTCAACGCTGATCCCTTTTAGGCTTTTGACAGTCACGTAGGCCGTGGCTCACCACATGTATCCCACGCAGTCCTCCAAGAGAGGCATCATGACCTTGATGCTCCTAGCATTGGCAAAGAAATCATCCTTGCGGGAATCCGTGCATCGAGCCTCGCTACCCCGAGGAACTCTTGGACGACTACTAGATCAGAAGGACAAAGCAGCGCGGGAGAGGGTACTACTACTGGATTAGTATACGGCAAGCCAACAAAGAGAGGATGGGCGGTGGTACAGCAGATACGTGACTGGCTGGGCCGGGAGATGTAATAAGTTCGCGACTACCTACGTAAAGCGGGATGGTAAGGTAGGTAGCAAAGTAAATATTTTTCAGTAAGATCTGTGACGGCTGGGTTGCAGGACCACACACCCAATTGAGCCAACCTTCCAAAAGGATTGCCAGAATGCTACGGTCGGCACCCTAGAATCCTAACTGTGGCTATTTGCTGGCACGACCACCAGCCAGGGCCAGGACTGAGCAGCAGAAGCTCATCTAGACGATATCGGGCTCTCAGGAAGAGTGAGTACATATGTCGTGGTGGCAGGACCCCAAATTCAGCGTAATTAGTAGGTAGCCAGAAACCTCTATTTTACCAATCCTCTGCCCTAGACTTGGATCCCAGAATAAATGGGAAAATCCTGTCTGTCGACTGTAAGTTATCTCTTCAACCGCCGCCGCGTAGCAAGAGGTTCAACAACACACCAAACACTCTCTGATGACCCAACGCCGCCCTCACACGAGATATTTCGGAACTTGCCCGGGAAAAGCATCAAAGATCCAACCGGGTCATTGTTATAAATCCACAGCAAAACAAAAAAAAAAAAAAACAAAAAGGGGGGGGGGGGGGGTGTTGTGGGCAGTAAAACTTCAAAGATGTAATACTACATAAACAAAAAAGAACACCCCCCCAGGGAGTCGAACCCTGCGCAACGGAGATTCAGAGGCCTGAGAATCCGCTATGTTACCGATACACCAGAGGGGTGGTTGCTGTTGTACAGTTCGCTGGGATTTCTTTCTTATCAAGTGAAATGGTTTGCTGTGTGGCTGTTCCTTCCTTGTTTGACTGTCGGATGTGTGTGTGTGTATGTGTGTATGTGGGCGGCAGTGGGCATACTTTAGGTAGATGGGAAGGTGCGTCCCCGTTCGTCTGCTCCTAGCTGATCTAGGTACCACATCTACCACTGATGTTATCTGGCAATCTGGTTCTGGTTTGATATTCGGCTATACCAGACAAACATACACACCCATGCGGCAGACTAACGATATTAGCATAACTAAGCCTTCCATAGACGAGAAGATCACACGAGGAGAACTATAGACATTTCAAAGATTTATTCCTTTCTTATTACAACACATGCGTTACACATATCAAAAGAGACACCTGGTCCCTCCTAGATAGCCATTCCGTTGCTACATCATCCTCTCCCGAGCCTAAGGTATTCAGGGTTATACCTAGAAAGCCGAATAGAGACCCCCTAAAAAGCCTTGCTAACCTGATACCGGATCATCAAGAAACAAATCCCCCGACCCCATCCTCTCCCCTCGCGGGTCGATGGCAGTCACGACTACTAAAATTCTCCCAGAAAGAAACACTGAGTCAAAACGAATAGACCGATTTTGTCGTCCCACATATAACTTCTTTGCTTTTCTTTTCATCGTTGTAACCATGAGCGTAACCTTCGTTAAAAGGGATGTCCAAACAAGTGAAGAGAGTTTTGCCTTGTTGTAACATCCGGGTATATATGAGAAGAAAATAAAACGTCAGATCGTAGGACAAGAATCACCAGGTAATCTTGGTCACGCGTGTCTTGAGGTCCGGCGTGCCCGTCGGCAAGTCTCTGGACCCAAGCTGTACGACTGCAAACCGCTCGCGAAGGTCAAACTCGACAGCCCGGACCATGACCCGCCGGTCCTCGGGAATAATACTCTTTCTCTGCGTCCGCTGTGACGTGGTCGAAAACGGACTCTCGCCCCGGCTCTCCCTCCGCATATCCCATCTTGCGTTCCCGCCGGGCCCGAGCGCGGCGTCGGAAAAGTCGATGGATCCCACCCGCACGCTGGATCCGCTCGTCGACGGACGTGGTGACTGTGCCTGGCCCGGACTGCTGCCGATTGCGCTATCTCCCGGCGTCGGGGACCGGAAACTGTTTTGCAGGTCGTCAAGATTAACCTCGGGTTCCGGCCCGTCCTCGATATCGGCAATCCACATGGCGATCCGCGCCGTCAGCTCGCTGTCCCACATGCCCTCTCGCCTGGGGCTGCTCTTGAGCAGTTGGATCGCCTTCCACCTCGTGGGTCGGTCACGACACTTGGTTGCGACCACGAACAGCGGCGGGACAATGCCGAGATCAGCACTAAAACTCGGCTTGATATGCCGAGCAGAATAGTCGAGACCGCCAAACGACGCATCAGAATCGTGCCGGCCACGGTGATGGCAGAACCTTGGGTCCGGACACCTCTTCATCGCCGCTCGTCGTTCCTCGTCGCCCACGACTTCCAAGGCAAGGTCGACAATGACATTGAAGTCGTCGGTATATTTGTCGAAACCCATCTCGCTGTCGCTGAAGGTCATCAGAAACAAGATATAGCTCATGATCTGGTACATCTTAAGCACGGCGATACACGCCTTCTCCTGGCTGCTCACGCCCGGCGCCGTCCGGGAAACGAGAATATGCTCAAAGGCGTCCGACCAGGCCTCCATCTCCTGCTTGAACCGGAGACCAAACTGCCGCACCGATGTCGGCAGGATACCCATGACGCCGCTCTGCGACTGGTTGAACATGGTCTCGGTGAAGCGGAAGATTCGCTCGGCCAGGGCATCCCACTTGAAGCGCGCCTCGAGCACCGACGAGAAGCGATCAGGGATCGGGTCTTGGTAGATGGAGACCGGGGAGCCGCCGCTGTCGGAGCCGGGAGAAGTCGGATCGGCCGATGGCTGGGTGAGCCGGACGACGTAGGGCTGAGGAAAGTGGAACGCCATGTCGTAGGATTTAGCCTGGATGGCCATGCGCGTAAACATCTGGATGAGCTCGGCCTCGACCGGCTCTTCCGGCCGGGGCAGAAAAGCTCGCCGTCGCTCGGCGCGAAGCTGTTCTAGCAGTCCCAGCCCGGTTTGGATCTGGACGATGGCTTGTTTGTGGTCGCCGATAAAAGAGTCGAAGCATGCCAGCAGTACTGACGCCATCAGTCTCGTCCTATTGGATCTCGTGTCAGCCGAGTGCGCGAGCATCAACTCCTGGCATGCTCGGGAGTACTGCTTGACAGCCATCTCCCAATGACTCCAGGCCGTATCACTCGGGTCTCGGTCTCCGCTTGGTGACCCTGGCGGAGACTCGGCCGACTTCTCCAGCGTCTTGTACAGGGCGCCCAAGGCGACGACGGCATGGCGGATCGACGCTTCCGAATGACATTCTTGCAGCACCGATCGGGCCCAGAATGCCGAGTCAAAGAACCCGGACAGCTCGTTGGCCGTCTGCTCTTGGAACAACTGATAATAAAGCCCCTCTTGCGCGTCGAAAGGCAACACGCTGGGAGTCTGTAGGAGGACTACAACCGGAGGAGCACTTGGTGGCACCTGGCCGGCGATGCGCCGTTGAACTTTCTGAACACGCCGGGGAGGGAGCTGTATCGCCTGTACTGGTTCTCGGACCGGCGCCGGGGCGCTAGTAGCTACGGCAATAATGGGCTTCGGTGCGATGCGGATTTCTTCAAACGGCCGCGCGCTCCGAGCCGGAGGGGGGTAGCCCGAACATATCTTCTTGGAGCGGATGCAGTTTGCACATGATGGTCGTTTCTCGTCGCACTTGATCCTCCTCTGTCTGGGACCCGAATATCAGCATCCACCATTCCATTCTCCACCTCGGTCCAAACCTACTTGCAGTTGTTGCACCCTGTCTTTACTTTTGGCTTGCTCGTTCTTGCGCGCCGAGGCTTCAGCGTGGGGTCTGCGGGGGCGCCGCCGTTGAGGGCGGAGGTGGGAGGAGCTCCCGGCGCCGCGTGGGATTCCGACGACATGAGCTTGATTCGTTTGCCTTGTTACCCGGGTGGTATCGCCTGTTGAAGCCCATGCGGCCGCTGCAGATCCGTGGAGCCAATTGACACTGCGCGCGATCTCTTATTGCGGAGCTATCGAGGTCGCGATGATTTCGCACTCGTGTTTCCCATACAAAGAAAAGGCCGCGCCTTGTTCGGCAGCTGGTTGCGCCAGCTCGGCGGGAATCGGCCGGATTGGATCGCACCGAGCGTGAGCTGCAGAGGTCTGTCGAGCTGCAGCTGCCGATCGAGAAAGCCGGGAGGAAGTCGGCCGTCGCGAGTTCAGAGACGAAACCTGGGAGCAGAAGTTGTGTCAAAACCCGGAACACTGTGCCGCACCTGAGTAAAGTTTGTCGCTGGGAAGCAAACAAAATGGGCGGGCAAGGATTTGGAGAGGCTGTGGGCGAGGCTCGCTGTATTAAAGGTAAATTCGAAGCGGTGCGGGCAGTTGGCTGGTGAGGGGCCACAGGGGTAACAGGGGGAAGGGGAGCTCCCGGCGACATTTTGCAGGCCGCCGAGCCGCCCACCTTGCGGTCCCTTCGTGATGGTGCACATCCCGCTCGGAGCCGTCCCCACTCCCGCGAACTCGCCAAGCCAGTGTGCACCTGTACAAGTAACTACCTACCTCGAACAGCCAGTATTCAGGACTTTGTGGATCGCCTCGTCCTGGAAGGATTACTGGGCAATTCTGTAATTTTGGTTCCACGTCGTGGCTCGCGCAGCCAAGTACCCAGTTCTAATCAGATATTCTATGAGACTCGGTGTCGTTGAATCCTTCCGGCGCTGATCGGCCGTTCCAGTCCGCCGACGCATGCTGGGCATTTCAACCACATCCGTACTGCCGTTTCCGTCAATATCCATACCATGTCCTTGGAAATCTATCGTCTGTGAGACTGTCCTCTCGACCGACATGAGGGGGTGCCACACGTCTGCGAGGTAGCCTCTTGTGGAATACCAAGGCTGTGTTGGCTGGCTGAGGTTCGGCTGTCCTGGATTGGTCGTGGTCTGGACGCAGAAGCGCATAAGCCCTCCGCATCCCCTTCCCAGGTGCATCCAAGAGCAGCAACGAGCTCACCGCGCAGAACGCCACAACCTGCGTCGTTGGGACTGGCCCGCGTTTGTAGGCCGTGTCGCGCACCTTGGCTATCAGGTGGCGTCCCTCCTCCAATGATTTGGCGGGCGACATCTTTGCGCAAACCGCACGGGCGACGGCCGGAAGGGTGACGAGTTAGTCACCACCTGTACGACTGGAGCACAGGAACCTTCGGTGACCTCGTTGAGGGCAAAAGAGCATTCCCTGGGCCCCTCCAAAGTAGTGGGATCAAGTCCCGGCATCTGCCGTTGCACCTACCCTCCATCACAATCTCGGAACGCTCGCCACGCGACAAGCCGGTCGGCCCGTGGATGCCCTCCGCACCATCGCCCTCCTGCTCTTGGCCTTCATCCCAAGCTGTCGCATTCCAATGTCTCACCTCCGGGTGCAACAAGAGTCAGACTGACCACGAAGAGCCCCGCTCGGCACCGTGCTGAGCCCCTCGGCCGCACGCGCAAAAGGACTTGGCCAGGGTGTTTGATGTGGCCGAGTGACGCTAAAGTGTGAAATCAACGTCGATCGTGGGTTCTGACACGACCAAGTTTCGAAACGCCCCATCCTTCTCAGCCCTATGGATGATGATATCGCGATGCCTCGGCCCATTGGGCAGAGGGTGCACCCTGCTTCCGTCCGATCGGCATGGGAGTCATCCGCCATCATTTTGTTGGACACATGAATGGCTGTTTTCTCTGGCGCACTCCCTCGGCTCGGCAGCCCCTGGATCAGCCTTACGTTCGAGAAGCGCATGGCACCCACCTATGACACGCCGAGCACCACCTGCCTAGGAATTAGAATGCTGACGATTGCACTGCTTTTTGGGTTCTAAAATTGCGCCTCGTCATGAGCTTCGTCCATCC